CTTCTTCTAGTTGAGCTCTGATCATCCAGTCATTGAAGCCAGGTCAAGTGGGTATTATCTGCAAGTGTGGGTGTTCTTGTGTATATGCCCTCTCTTCTTATCAGCATGAATCTTAGACTCTCTTCAGATTTTTTAAATCCTTTTTTCTGCTTGCTTTTCTATCTTAGCAGTACTGAAAGATTTGTCTTCTAGCTCACTGGTTCTGGCTTCCATCTCTTCAGTTCTATTCCTTTGCCCTTTCAGTGTATTGTCCATTTCTGATATTGTATTATTATCAATACAAAATTATTATCAATTATCTGGACATCTTTTTGCAGGTTTTGAATTGTTCCCAATGATGTATCTATCTTGTTTGATTGTTCCTGTAGCACTTTCCTGACTTCTTCCTTATTTTCCTCCACCCCTTTTTGGAGCATTTGAATTTGTTTCCATATCATTCTTCTGAATTCCTTCTCAGGAAGACCCAAAGCCTGCTTTTCTTCTACTGGAAAGTATGTGTCTGCTTCCAGTTCATTTGTCTCCATTACTCTTTTCTGTTTTTGGACATGTTTTGAGATTTTTTTGTTGTGTTTTCTTGGACATTTTCAGTAGTTAGGTGGGTTTTTAATGCTTAAATGGATGTATGTTGCTGTGTTGTTAAGCTTACTGAATGTCTCCTGGTGGATATGATCTGGAGATCGGCTTCCCTTTTTGTGTGTAATGCCTCGCAGCTGGTTTTAGCTCCTGTCCCAATGGTGGGATATTATGAGGAATGCTTTTAACTTGACTATATGGTCATGATTGCTGTCTTTTCTTGGGTAACGTAGGGAGAGAAAACTCCCACACCCAGGAAAAAAGTGTGACCAAAAGGACCAAAACCAGAAGCAATATAAAAGCAGAGACAAAAACTACCACTCAAAAACAAAAACAAAACTGTAGCTGACTGACCAGTAGCCTTGGCTTAGCAGGTCAGTGTGCATGCCCAGTAGAAATCTCCAGCAGTGGTGGGGGTGTCCACATGCTCAGGTCCCTCTTCTAGTCACCACTGTGGAGGTGCACAGATAGATATTGAGAAGCTAACGGGAGAAAGATTGTCCACTATTTTTATCTTAGAAGTCCAGTTACATATCTGCGTGTGCACAGCGTAATTCTTGAAATAGCTGCATCCTTATGTGTAGTAGTTGGTGTTGGCTCTTGCCTATTATGTTGGGTTTTTACAGAGTGTTCATATGGTTTGTCTTATGGCCAGACCTGCTTTTTTCTTGCTGGGTAGGCAGTAGTAAAGGGTCTTGTACAGATCAACTTTAGGGCTGGGCCCCAGAGTCAAAAGCAGCTGCCAAAGGATCAGCCTGTGGGACCAATGGGGATCCTCTGCTCTGTGCAGTGGGAAAACTGTGGGCTCAATGCTGGACCCTTTTGGGGGTACATACCCACCCACATGAAGGTGTCCAGGCTGGACAGAGAGGGTGAGATAGGGGAGAGGAGGAAGAAATGTGTAGAATCCCCCATACCTCTTTTTTCAAATGTCACTGCGTGGGTTTTAGGGCTGTATCACTGTGTCAGTCTGGCTGTGGCCCTGCCCTCTGAATTAACCCCTGGCAGGAGTGGCCGCAGGGAGAGACCTACATCCCAATTGATTCCAAAATCACAATATTTTCTTTTATACAGTGATTTTTCCACTGGTAGGTGCAGGAAACTGACACCCTGTACCGTATACTAGATCCAGAGCCCTGGAGCTGCTCCGTGGGTTTTTCTGCACCTCCCTCCATGGAGCCTTTCCTACCGGACTCTGCTTCTCCTGCCTCCAAAACCATGGGTCACCTCTCTTTGTAATGGGAAAAAATATGGATCTCTTCCAATCAGTTGCCCAGGTAACTGTCTTCCAAATTGCTTGGCATAGATGAGTGAGTGCTTCCCATGCCGCATCAGTTTGTCGAAATATTTCAATTTGTAATACACCAGATCTCTGAGTCTTGTTCTTTGCCAATGCCTTCAGTCAACCTTGGACTTCTTTCTTTAGTATCATTGGCTCGTGATCATATGTTAACGCTTGAAATGTCTGAATGTCGATCATTTCTTTTTGGTACAGTAATTGTGTAGTCCTTCCGTCGTTTTTTGATTCTTTCTTTTATCATTTAACATTTTGCCCATGTTATTTTTAAGTGCTGTAGAGTTGATTCCAACTCATAGCAACCCTGTATAGGGTTTCCAAGGAGTGGCTGGTGAGCTTGAACTGCTGACATTGTGGTTCAAACTGACCTTGCAGTCAGGAGTGTTAACCTGAAGCATCATAGCCGGACTATATTTTGTCCATTTGTTGTTAGGTGCCATCAAGTTGATACAGACCCATAGCGACTTTATGCACAGCAGAACGAAACACTGCCCAATCCTGGGCCAACCTCACTACTGTTGCCATGCTCAAGCCCATCGATGTTACCACTTGGCCAATCAATTTAATTGGGGGTCTTCCTCTTTTTCTCTGACTCTCCACCTTCCTTACCAAACATGATATCTTTCTCCAGCAACTGGTCCCTCCTGACAATATGTCTGAAATATGAGAGATGAAGTTTGGCCATCTTGGCCTCCAAGGAGCACTCTGGCTGCACTTCTTCCAAAACAGATGTATTGGTTCTTTTGGCAGTCCATGGCACTTTTAGTATTCTCCTCCAACACCACAATTCAAAGGCATCAATTCTTCTCTGGTCTTCCTTATTCACTACCTAGCTTTCATATGCATATTTTGTCCATAGAATCCTTGAATATATCAAGTCCAGGCTTGATTTTTTTCTTCAGTTCTTTTAGCTTGAGAAAAGCTGAGCATTTTCTTCCCTTTGGTTTTCTAATTCCAGGTCTTTGAATATCTCATTATAATACTTGACTTTGTCTTCTTGAATTGTCCTTTGAAATTTTCTGTTCAGCTTTTTATCTCATTTCTTCCATTTGCCATAGGATCTCTATGTGGGAAAGCATATTTCAGAGTCTTCTGATATTCATTTTGGTCATTTCCTTCTTTCTTGTCTTCTTAAGACCTTTTGCTTTCTTTCTGTAAAATGTTCTTGATGTCATCCCACAACTCTTCTAGTCTTTAGTCATTTGTGTCTAATTCATCAAATCTGTCTTTGAGATGATCTCTAAATTCAGGTGGGATATATTTAAGGGTATATTTTGGTTCTTGTGGACTTGTTTTAATCTTCTTCAAGCTTCAGCCTGAATTTGCATATCAATAGTGATGGCCCCTGGCCTTGTTTTAGGTGATGATATGGAGCTTTTCTACTATTTTCCCCCCATTGATATAGTCAGCTTGATTTCTGTGCATTCTGTTTTTCACCATCTTTTTAAAACGTTGTTTAAAAAAGGTTTTTGCAAAGAATAAGTCATTGGTGTTTTGGAAAAAGAGTAATAGCAGATATTTCTTTAAAACATCATTTAAGGCTAGATTTGCCTTTCTACTGCTGGAGAAAATATGACAACATAAATATTGCCAAGAGTTTGTAAGCAGGGAATGGACTTACCATCCTCATGATCTGCCAGGAGAGTCACCCTGGTAATGGGGAATTTGGCTCCAAGTTGTCCTCCCATTGTCAGGCTCAGTGAGACGCTGAAGGACTCCTCCTCTTCATAAAGGGAGTCATCAATGATCACCACACGGCAGGTCTTCTCAATCTCATCCTTGTCAAAGCGGAGGATACTGGTGTGGTCCTCTGGACGTGAAATGTAGTCAGAGAAAGACAAGTCTGTGGAAGGAATTGTGCCTGTGGCAGAACCTGCATGAATAAGAGAAAGAACAATGCAAGTGAGAAGGAAATGGACTTCCAAAGAGGAAACCTGATCCCTGCTGGTTCTTCAAACTATATCTAAATAATAGCTATCTAAACTATAAGGGTCGCTATGGGTCGGAACCAACTCGATGGCACTTAACAACAACAACAACAACAAACTATAAGGGACATTCATCTTACAGCAATAAATATTAACATTGTAATTAGAAAACTTTCAGATGCGACTTTGGTATTTTTGTAACCGAGATTTGGTGATCTTCAAATAGGAGCCAAGATTTAGTTACCTTTAAATAGGGGATATATTGGAGTTCCCAGGGTGGCGCTGTAGGTTAATGCACTGGATTGAAAGGTCTGTTCAAACCACAAGGTTGACGGTTCAAGCTGTTCCTCGGAAAACCTGGATAGCCTCACTATGAGTCGAAACTGACCCGAAGGCACTTAACAAAAACGGCAATATTGAACAATGGCAATGGTGGCTTAGACCTCTCAGCTTTCCTGTGGGAGACCTGGGTTCAATTCCTGGCCGACGTACTTCAAGTGCAGCCACCAGTCATATGTCACTGGAGCTTTGTCTGTTGCTATGATGTTGCACAGGTTTCAGTGGTACTTCTGAAAAAGCACCCCATGAAAATCATATGGATCTTAATGGTCTGATCCCATTATACATGGCGCCTCCATGAATCTGGGACTGATGCCATGACAATTAAAAGCAACAATATTGAATAAAACTTGTGGAAATTAGGGGCCAAATGAACTAAAGGATAAAATGATTCTAGGGCTGATTCTAATGTCCTATGTGAGAAAATTGAGATGCAGAGAAATTAGAATCAGGAAATTTATATAGTGATAATAGTATTGATTTTTCCTTTCCCCAGCACTGTACCTATGGCAAGGCTATGTGAGTAGCATCTATTTACTCTGACACCACCTCCTACCCCCACTACAGTTTCTTTCATTACACTATTATATTGTCACAAGTAGAAATTACTTGTTATTTCACAAGCCGTGCAGGATTGTGATCTCAGTTTAGATTTAATGCACTTTAAAATGTGTTATAATAATTTATATATTAAGATTTACCAATTTAATATGCACCATTTAATGAGTTTTGATAAACACGTATAGCTATGTAACCACCACCACAATTATAATATAGAACATTTTATTTTTTACTTTCCTACACCAGTATTTATTTAAAACACAAGTAAGCATTTCTCTTTCTGCAATGGCAAAAGGTTGAAATAATGCTGAACTTGAATCATTGACTAATTCAAGGGATTTAAATATTAAACATAGTTACTTTTTAAATAAAACAAAAGAATAATGGTTATATACAAAAGAGATTTGGAACCTGTGATTCCAATAATGAAATGAGTAGAAAATCCGCTGTGAAGCTAGAACATTCCAACCGTTCTTTGGAGGGCTATTGTATAACATTCGGTCACTGAAGATAGATTGATAGAAAGGTGTCTATATATAAATTTCAAGTCATTTTTGCTTGTGCAGAATCATTCAGATCTTCCAAGACTGAATGAGTGATCCTGTGGCTTTCTTCCTTTTCCATGTTCCCAACAAGACTACAGGAAGTTCAACTCTTGATGAGCCAGCTGCTTACAACAACAGTTCCTTAGGAGCCAGCATGACAGGTGAGTCAGATTCCCCTAAGAGAAACACAATGGGCCACCTCCAGCAAAATACCAAAGTGGAGAATTCTTTTCTTTTTCCTTCTGGTTATGGACAGGATGTCTCCTTTCAAGATTATTATCCCCATCATACTTGTTTCTTCACATGTCTAAACCCTTGAGGTGATATGAAGGAGATCAACACTGAGAAAATATAATTGAATTCAGAAATGAAAATACAAAACTGTATACAATACCATACACCTCCAGAACATCTCAGTTCACTTGCTACAGTACAGGCCAGTATACTGCCTCAGTCTCTTGAAACAAATTTTCTATTTCTGGGATTCCCTGGAATTTGTTTCAGGGGGTCCCCTGAGGCACTTTAAAGCCTTAAAACATGTTAGTAATAATAAATTAGCTATTGCTCTTAGAGGCTTACAGAGCAGCAAAAGCATCAAAATCAGGGTCCAAGTTATGCCCAGATTACCAGCTTCCTGAGCTCCTCAGCCCTCTCTAAAGCTTAAGGTGAGTCTCTAAATACATTTAAAAAGACATACATACAATTTAACACAGAGTGGATTTTTTTGTTTAGTGGTAGCATGAAGTTTGGTCCCTAATGGTAGCAGCTGTTTTCATCCTTTCAAATTCAGATATTAAGTATATTAAAACAATACATAACAGAAATACCACAACAAAGGAAACAGAAAAATGAGAAACCAAAACTGACAAACACCTCAAGGAATCACTAGTTCTCTCTCACCCTTTCACTGGGATCCTCCTCTCAGAATATAGAACATTTTTAGCCTTCTGCCAAAGCTGACTTGTATTCCATTAAAATCTATCCCTTTTCTCCACTGTCAGCCCCTGTCAAACACTGCTTTTTATCTTTATTGACTTGCCTTTTGTTTGTTAGAATTTCATGTTCTCAGTGGAATCATATAGTCCACAGTTGTTTTTTTTGGTCTGGTTTCTTTCACTTAGCACAATGCTTTTGAAATTCAGCTGTGTAGTTGCATGTATCAGGACTCTGTTCTTTTCATTGCTGAATAGTGTTCCATTGGAGTCTTGATGTGGTACTGTAGGATGAGCACTGGACTGCTAGCCACAAGGTTGATGGTTCAAACCCACCAGCTGCTCCTTGGAAATCCTATGCAGGGTCGCTATGAGTCAGAACTGACTTGATGGCACTTAACAAAAACAAAGTGTTCCATTATATGGACATGCCATAATTGGTTTATTTATCCAGTTGAAGAACATTGGTATTGTTTCTAGTTTTTAGCTATTCTGGAAAATGTTACTATGAAGGTTGTAGTACAAGTCTTGGAGTGGGCATATAATTTTATTTACCTTGAGTAAATATGTAGGAATTGGATTTTGGAATTCAGTGCATTCTTTTTTACAGTATAAAAGTGTATTAGCACACAGGTTTAAAGCTAAAAAGACAAAAAGTAGTTGTAGTAATAAGAAATGGTTTCGGTAGAACAAAGACTATGCGAAATAGCTCAATATACTAAATAAGCAGTTTTTAGAAATTGTTAATATTTCTTACCACATGTCTCCCTGATAAGAAGTGATGGAAAATGAGTGGAATTCTGAACTGAACGACCTAGTCTCATGAGGGTGTTTCTTGCAAATAGGATATGCTTGTATACACAAAAACATCAGTGTCTGACGTATTGTCAATAGGAATGCACCTAACTTTGAGTTGGCATCTGTGGCTATGTTTTGCATGTATATATATATGTTGTTGTTGTTGTTAAATACCGTTGAATTGGTTCCGACTCATAGGGACCCTGTATAGGGTTTCTGAGGAGCTGATCCTACAGCACCACACCAAGAGTCCATGCTTTGAAGATATACATTTTATTGCTGTTGTTTAGTGCCATTGAGTTGGTTCCAACTCATAGCAACCCTATCTATATAGGGTTTCCAAGGTGTGATTGGTGGGTTTGAACTTCCTACCTTGTGGTTCCCAGTCCAGTGCTGATCCTACAGTGCCACACCAGGAGTCTGAATGTATACATATAGCTTGTTAAAAAATGAAACTAGTTTCCAAATTTATCTCAGAGGCTATAATCAGAAAGGTATGTTGTTGTCAAGTGCCATCAAGTTGATTCCAACCCATAGTAACATTTTATAGGGTTTCCAAAGAGTGACTGATGAGTTCGAACCATCTACTTTGTGGTTCAAAGCAACTTTGCAGTCCAGCTCATTAACTCACAGCACCACAGAAAGATATAGGGTCACAAAATGTTCTAGGATGACTTTCCAATATAATGACTTTTAAAAACTGTTGTACTTACCATGAGTTGACTGACTCATGGTGACCTATGTGCTCATAGAACAGAATATTGCCCATTGCAATGCCATCTTCGTGACCTTTGGTATATTAGAGTCTCTTCTTGTGTCTTCTGGGTTAATCCATCTCATGAAAGGTTTTCCTGATTATTGCTGACCCTCTACTTTCCCAACCACGATGTTCTTTTCTAGCAGTGATGACATTTCCAAAATATTGGAGATGAATCTTGCCATCTTCACTTTTAAGGAGCATTCTGACTGTACTTCTACTAAGACTGATTTGGTCATTCTTCTGGTAGTCCATGGTATGAAGGGGTTTCAAAAAGTTAGTGAAAATATTTCATTCTATTTTTCCATAAAATTTTAAGGTCACCTTATATATTCCATGGTCCTAGCCATATGGAACACCATAATTTCAATGTACCAATTCTCTTGTGTCTTCCTTTTTTATTGAAGTTCAAAGTGAGCATTTTGTTATTCTGGCAACTGAAAAAAAAACAAAAAACTTATACCTGGAGAGACGGATGAAAATCAAAAATTTTAATCATGTTTGATAAGGTGGAGGGTCAGAGAAAAAGAGGAAGACCCCCAGTGAGATGGATTGGCAAAGTGGCAGCATCAATGGACTCAAGCGTGGCAACAATTGTGAGGTTGGCCCAGGACTGGGTCGTGTTTCATTCTGTTGTGCATAGGGTCACTATGAGTTGGTACTGACTTGATGGCACCTAATAACAACAACAACAAAGGGCAGAAACTGTTAAAAAATGAACAGGTACCAGGGAGCTATCAATAGGTGGGGAAGCTAACCAAGTTCCAGTACCAGCCTGAGTT